AAAAATTAGGTACATATCAGTATTTTTCATCTTGAGCCTTTGTCACACATTGCTTAAAAAACTGTTCAGCATATTTCCTAGAAGTAAGGAATAAACTAAGGAATGTTTCCAACAACTAATAGATTTAGAAAATCTAGGTATTTATAACTACAAAGAACATTTAAAAAAAAAAAAAAAAATCAATAATGGCTGTGATTTCAGATGACTCTGAAGCTAAAATGACAGAACTGAAAAGCAGAACTCAGTTCTGAAAGCAACTTTTTCCAAAAAGAAGTTCCTTCAAACATTTAGGATAAACTCTTTTTGACTTCATGAGACTGAAAGTTGTTTTACTGCTGTAGTCTTCTAATACTCAGTTAAGAACGCCAAATTTACACTAGCAACTTGAGTGAAACTGCAAGCTACAAAAAAGTATAATTAAGCAAGCATGCACAAAACACCATTGAAGCCTTATTGTTAGCCAGGGAACATTATCATTACTTCTGTGCTACTTCATCTGCGTAAGTGTCATAATTCTCCTTCGGACCAAGACAGAATATTTCAAGATTTTAATTAAAACCATTGACACTGAGAAATCCCATTGGATGTTTACTTTTACTCCTCCTTACAAGAACATTTCCTCTCCAAAAAAAGTCTTTAAGTTCAAAGACTTTTCACCCTTCTAAAATAGATTGCACAAAGTATTTTGAAGCAAAAAGGGAAAAGTAAAAATATCTTTGCTTTTATATCTATGCATGCTGTTCTGAAATCAATTTGGCATATGCCTTGTGAACATCCTGAAACAGCAGAGTTTTCTTCTCACTTGCAGTCTGAGAGCTATGTTTAATAAGAAATTTAATATGAAATTGATCTGCTTCAAGAATGGCAGCCAAGAACCATGGAATGCTGCTGCAAAGTACAAGAAAAGAAAATCAATGTGCAGCTGTGCATGCTTGGCCATGGCCTTCCTGCACGTGGAAGGCAGTAATGATGAGATGGCAATTTTCCAGAGCTTTGTCCTCCTCAGCAACAGAATGCAACTCCAAATTATAATCATAAGCTCTTTCTATTCAACTGTAAAGGTTGTCTTAAGTATAGATGCCTACACAAATGCCACAGAGGACATATATCCAGGATGAGTGATATTTTACACCTTGAGCAACAAAACAGCATTTTGATTTACAGGAAAGCCAGGTTCTAACCACAGTTCACATCAAGGAATTAAACAAATATAATATTATGTGGTGTAATTGCCTAAAGTAACTAGGAAAATAGAACTAATATTCACATTTTAAAGAAAATGTACAGCATTGAAGAGGCTTTCAGGGTAGGGTGTAGCTGCATTACCTGGGTGTTCCCCAGGCTTCCAACCTTAGATGCTATCATGCTAAGGGAACCTGGTGTGCTAGCTCTAAGGAACAGTATAGAGCATAGAGTGGAGTGGAGACACCATGGCTAGGCTCTGTACCAGGTGGGAACTCGATTGTTCTTGTGCACACCGAGACCGATAAACCACACTTTTTGCTACCCCAAGCCAAGGACCTGTCATGTTTTGACAAATGCTGTACCCCAATGTACTTTTCCTCATTGTAATATCATTATAATACCAAAACACACCTCCATGCCAAAAGCTACCCACCTCCAAGGTGCGACCACCCCTCACTGAGCATGCGCTCTGAATTTCTTGGAGCCCATTCCTTTAAACAGAGACGGGAAAACTTTTCACCAATCATAACTAAGATATGCTTGACTAGAGTCACTCAAGCTCCACCTAAAAGATAGAAAACAATATAAATTGACCTAAGAGAGAGGGGATGTTAGGAAAGATACCACTGTCAAGGGAGATACCATCACAAGGGAATACATCATCTCGAGGACCTCCTGACTCCTGGGATCAGTCGACGGGCTGAGCCTCCCTTCAAACCCCATTGGGATGCCTTTGGGTGAGATTTGAACACTTGATTATACTGTGTGTGTCCACGGAAACTTAGAAATCACTACAGAGTCTTTGTGCCTTTTAACGTGTTAATTTCCAGGCTGCACACCTGTGTCACCTGTGTATTTCATGCATGCTAGTTTGCTTTTGCAGACAGTAAACTATCGCCGGCAATCCAAAGAACCTGGGTACCTGTTGCTGTAATAAATTGCACTTAACTGCATTGTTCCTAGCCGTGATAGTTCTCACTGAACGCAACTAGAATAAGGATGGTTATATGTTATTGGTGAATCCGTGACTGTGGTAGTTCAGTGCTCTGAATTCGACCAGACTCACATCGGTTAATGCATTATTGGTGAATGTGTGATTGTGATAGTTCGGTACCCTGAATCTGACCAGACACGTAACGGTTAATCGGCTACACCCCTTAATGCGACACATGAACATAATGCACAGGACTCTAGTTGCATTAAAAACACTATTTCACCATAAATCTTTGAAGCTGATACCAGACAGTACGTGAAAATTTTCTCCCCCTGTCAAATTGACCGTTCAGACAGACAAATTGAAAATAAAATCCTGCCTTATATCATTTCCTTTCTCTCATCTGAAAAAATTCCAGCATAAAATGCAATACTAGAGTGGCTAATAATGCAGGACATTTCTACCAGCTTTTATACAGGCAACAGAAGACAGAGACACCTTGTTCCCCTACAGTTTATAAATGCATTGTAAAAGATTCAGCCAAAGTGTAACTGAGGGGCTATTTCTGTCTTAATTCTCTGAAGGTGCACGCAACATGATGCTGCAGTTTCATAAAAGTACTAAAGATGTGTGGATCTAGAGATAGGTAAGGATTTGTTTTATATTGCATCTTGCCCTGCACTGACTTCACCTGTTAGTTACAGTATCTTTCATGCTGTAAGCACTTGTAAAAGGAAAAGAAAACACTCTGTTAATGGTGTTTTCAATCTCAACATACATAATCTGCCAAATAACCACGGTGGTAAAAGTTTTTCATGCACAAAGCACCAGATTGAAACTAAGAATATGTATGCATATAAACATACCTACTGCCTTAGCTGCTTGCACGAACTTTAGAAACTATGACGTTATGTCACATACTAAAACTATTTGCTTGAAATACAGTACGTTGTTTATTGTTACTTTGTCCAATCCAAACCTTCCAGCCCTATGACAAAGAGATCAATTCAAATGATTTAATATATCAATCTCTTTGTAAGAAAAAGAAAGAAACCACTTTGATGAAATCAACTGGAACACTACCAAGAACTGTACAAGAGCAGTCACTTAGGTAAAGATTCAACTTCAGAAGATGACAATGAAGGCTGCGTTGGGTACATGTGTCTGTATGGTGGTGACTTGAAAAATTCGGTCTCTTTAGAGAACAGGAAGAGTAAAGACAAGTAGGAAGAGTAAAGACAAGTACCCACAGTAATTTTTCCTCTGATATTTATATAGCTACTACATTTTTGTTATGCCAAAGACCTTACTCACTCTTCCTCTGCTAAGCCCCACCACAAACAAAGCTCCAGAGTTATTGGATAATTTGCACAGCACCAAATCTTGATCCTTTTAAGTGAATAGCAAAACCTTCTCTCATTTTAACAGGGACACAATTTGTTTGGTCCATTACTAAGCTAAAACTGTAAGCAAACCTTTGACAGCACGTTGCTGATGGTGACAGCCCTATCCCAGCTCAAGTCAGATCAGCTCTCAACTACTTTTAACCTAGTATCAGTATGGGTGTGGGTTCCAAACATATAGTGGACTTGAGGCCCTAGGGAAAGCCAGGATGTCAAAAGGCAGCATACCAGCCACTTGACAGTAACAGTCTGTGTACAGTATTCTAGTACCACAGAAAATGTGAAGTGACTCAACCACAGAGACAGTGACACCAGTGGTCAGAGTATGTATGTGCATAGTTATCATTGATTAACTTGATGCAGTATAAATGTATCTGTTGTATTGAAAGCTAATATCCATTTCTGTGCATGTAAATGATCTGGTCTTAAATACTGAGGGAAACACTTAGAGAAAGTCCTTATCAGCCCATCTCCTTCCAGTCTCAAAGTCAGAATACCTGCTATTTATCAAATTCGACCCAAATATACAGATGGTAGACTTACAGAAAATAGATTACTTCCTCCAACAAAGGAAAGATAAAACAAAATGTACAGAAGAATATAGTCCCAGAACAGCAAGACTGAATGAAATGAACTTCAGCCCATCCTGTTTTAACTTACCTGACCTGACATTTGAAACTTCTTGAAGTTCTTGGCACAAGAATGAGGAGTTACAACAGCCCCTGAACCCTTATTTCAGCAAGATCTTGCTTTTGTAAATATTTCCTCAATGCTGATAAACATCTGTTGGCTGCCTAGGGTGGCCTTAGTGGGTCCATTTCTGGATGGCATAAAGGTGATTCAGTGCTTCTCTACAGCAAGTAATGAGTTCATAAAGACAGTAAAATGGCATAAAGGAAATCTGAATGCTGAAACAATTCATCATTAAAAATGGCACTGGATCCTCTGTTGATAATCAGATATCTAAATGTCATAACAGTCTACAGTAAATTTCTAAAAGTTAGAACAGGCTTTTGATTAAAAGATATAAAGACCAGCAGACTAAATTATCTGATACATGTATCTCAAAATAATATCAGTTTTGCACAGATTTCACTGCAAAAACTATTTCAGAAATTTTATATAATCTGCAACAGCATGTTGTGCCAGTATGCAGAGCAGTTTAAGGAAAATAAGCACAGATTTGTTTAAAGTGATGTCCTTAGTTTGGTTATGCTTACATCATTTTCAAGATATATTCTTCATATTTGAGTATGCTGTGTTGTCAGCTCATCCATGGAGAAGGCAAGCAAATATGGAGCAATTTTTAAAGCTCCCAGAGAGCTTTCTTCAACCTCTTACAGTACACACACAAAAAAAAAAAAAAAAAAAAAAAGCAATTTTTGGAATAAATTGCAAGGGTGTTATAATGCCTCTTCCACTATTCTTTGGGAAACAACAATTTCTGTTAGTCATTTCACACTGTACTGATTTGTCATGTGTGAGCATTCAGAATGTAAACTAATAAAATGTTTATTTTGGCCCATCGAGTATCATAGGGTGCTTGCTCTACTGAAAAAAAGAATGAAATGCAGTTGTGCTGAATGCCTGATGGTTGATTAGGCTTACAATTTGCAATTTATGGAAACAAATATAATCAGAAGGAAAATATAAAAAGATTAATTTTACCTCTAAGACCGACAAGTCTTTACTGATAAAGCAATAAAACTATGGTAATATTAATAGCATAATTAAACTACAATTGCAAAGTCTGATATTATTTTACATTATTTGAAGGTATACTGTGCCTGGAATAGAGGCTTTGATTTTGATAAGCTTTGATACCAGTTATTTTCATTAATTATTCAATAACAAGCTTCATCAGGCTTTCTGGGAAGTTCACCACTGTATGTCTCTCATTTTAAGAATGACCTGAAAGGAAAGAAAAAAGGAGAGGAGGAAGGGCGTTTACACTCATCAAAATCTGCTTTTTGGAGTGTGATCGCTACTTTGTCTTACTCCCTCTTTCTGTCTTTTGTGGTGACTCAATCCTGCATTTAAAGTCATTAAACTTTGTCAGTATTTTTCACTGGGCTTGGGACAGAACTTTAATTCCCAAAGCAGCAAACCCTGAAGCTCTTCACAGTCAAGAATGAAATTTGCAAGGATGGGACTGATCTTCCATAACAGCAGACCTTGAAATTCTTTACCAGAGGACAGCCACAAGCCTTAATGCATTCACAACAAGATGAAAGATACATGTGAATTAAAATAATAATAATAATAATAAAAAGCAAAACAAAGAAAGCAGGAAGCAGAAAGGAAAAGGAAATAATGGGCATATAGAAAGATGAAGAGAAAAAGAGATGGACAAATGAAAAAGAAGGAGAAAAATGAAATCTTAAGTGTCCCGTGAAAAAGCTAAGAGTGGAACTATACCACAAATTCAGCGTATACTTGGGCACTGTTGCTTAGGGTACTCTGAAACCATGCTGACAGATTGACTTTTCACAGAATGGTTGAGGTTGACTCTTGAGGTCTCCTTGTCACACCTCTGCTCAAAGTCACCTAGAGCCAGTTGCCCAGGACCCTATCTAGATGCATCTCCAAGGATGCAGACTGCACAACCTCTGTGGGCAATCTGTTTCAGTGCTCAGTAAGTCACCTATTGTCTCTTCAAAAGAAAGGTTTCTTTTCAAATCTAAATGTAGGGGTCTTCCTTAATGCAGTGGAATGGAGGGGAATATTCCATAAAGTATTGTAATATTGTTTAAATTGCTTCATATGAACCAACAAGAAATGTTTGTTTTCAAAAGAGATTAAAAAATGGACATTTTGAAACATTTCCTCTGTAATTACATTGCATTTTCAAATGAAAATTCATTTCATAGTTATGACCTGAATTATTACTAAGTCAAAAATGACATTGAAAAAGAAATGCTCAGACTGTCACTAAATCACAGTCCCAGACTGTTGAGGCAATGACTATGAATGCATTTTCAATTAATATTACATAAAAAAAAGAAAACAGTTAAAATTTTAAATACTAACGTTTTTCACAAAAAGGCCACTGACAAAGAAAACATTCACATGAAACATTCTGATCACTTCTACAGACAGTCAAGGGCACACTGTCTTTACAACACAGGTCCACACTGATTATTTTCAGCCTAAAATATACCTCTTCTTGATGACTTGCACTACTATATTCATGTTCTACAAAAGCAATTTTTCAAGGTGTGAGAATTGGAGAATTGCCATGTACACAGTCGGGTTTGGTTTGTTTCCTTGTTTATCACGGTCACAGAATCACTTCCACCATTCCAGCCTTTACTGCCAGGGAGGGAAAAGCTAGGCTGGGTGAAACAGGAGCTCAGGGAAGCAGTTGGATAGAAAGACAGACTTCTTCCACCAGCAAAAGCTACCCCTCCTATCATCCCATGCCTCAGCACTAACATGAATATGTCAGGTGCTATCTTTCCCCTTGTCCCTTTGATTCCCTTGGGACAGCCAGAAAAAAACAAACAAAACACTTTAAAAGAAGCCTTGGGCTACCTTAGAGCAATCCCTCTCGAAGTGGAGTTCAAATCCCCACCACGACACTTTCTGGCTATCCTCTCTCAATCTCACCTGGAAAGTCTCAGCCTGATGCAGAACAAGATATATTTTAACATCTCGAAAATATTCACGGAATATTAAAAACATTTGTCCGCTTTAATTTACCAGTGGTCCTAAATTATTTCATCTCTCTCATTTCATTGCTCATTTAACATAACGCAGGAAAACATGTTACAGGCTGGAATATAGTAGTTATTGCAAACATTCAGTTACTTAAGCTAAGGATTGCTGATTTTCTATTTAAGATTAAGCATTTGCATGTTTCTTAATTCAAAATATGTTCAATCTCAAATACATGTAATTTTGGAGGGAAAAAATAAAGTTGACCCCCTGCCTTCTCCAACTTTGGTACGGAATAACTTCAAAAAAGTAAATTTTAAAAGCTTTAGTGTCTTTCTCACTATCTCTCTGGCCTGCTTCTCAAATTCATAGTAACTGTCAAAATTTATTTCACTACATGCAAAATCCCACTGAAGTTGCAGGTATCATCTCACTTCAACTGTACTGCTTATCACTTTACCTGCTGTTAAAGAAAGGTTTGTTTAACCTCATCTTTGAATCATGACAGAATATCAAGCCTCAAATCAGTCAGCTGAAAAACTGGAATAATTTGTAATTGGAAAAGCTTCTCTGCATATATTATTTTCTCCTCAGAGCTCAAAGAAAGATGAGCAGAATACTAGCCTTGTTTCTAAACACATACGCAAACTAATAGAAATCAAATGCTTTCTCTGCAGAGCACATAGGTAGCTCTGCTGGGTTCCTTATACACATTATGGAGTAGAGTCAACAAAAGATTGGGTAACAAGGTACCTACTATTTCATAAAACATTGGTGCATGTTTCTGCAAACTAAGAAAATGATGTAAGGATATCAACAGAAACTTCCTTTGTTAAAACAAGCTTATATTCACTCGTCATGCTACTTTCTAAGAACAGGTAAGTTCAAAATAATGGAAGTTAAACATTGTAGCAGAAATCGAATGGGAAATGCGAATGGGAAGGCATTTATGAGATATTTTTCCATAAAATTAGAATTTTTATAACCTGGATTATTAAAATTACATTTAACATTTCCCAAATATCTTTCATCCTAGATAAATGTTTTCCTTGATCTGTTACATTTCACAGAGGCTCCAGAGAAGATTAGGTTCTCAATTTGTTCTAAGCACACAGTGAAACAAAGTCCTTCTCTAAGGAGATTATGGTTTGTAGGAGAAAGGACAGGATATGGGTCATCACCTGCCCCTCTTGCATGTATCAAGGATAGAGATGTAGTGCCAAACCAGGTGACATACAAACCATCACAGCTGTAGTATCTTCACATGTTGATTCCAGTGTTTGGACTTTGGATTACCAAGCCCTGGATTGTGGGAAAGGAATTCGCAGGTGGCTTTGCACTGTTTCATGTGTCCCTGAATTAGAGATTATGAAGAAATAGGCAGTAGAAACAAAAATTTGAGCAAGGTCGAGATAAATTAACTTGGCTACAGTGTTAAAGATGAGCTTTGGGGAGTGGCCAAATGCTGGCTGGCTCAAGGTGTGTGTCTGAGGGTCTCTAACCAATTGTATGCCACATTCGGGCACGTGGACAGAGCATGGGGCTATGGGGAAAGATATGTAGTGGTGAAAAATGGCAATAAAGGTCTCCTGTTCAAGGGCCATCAGGATTCCGTGTCTTTCATCCCTTCACTGGATTTTCCTGTGCCTGAGCACTCACTTCTCCCTTTGCATTTCAGTTCCCTCCTCTTCAGTAGCACTGACACTCTTATTTGAGGCCATATCGTAAATCAGATGATCAAAGTAATCCAGACTAAATATACTCTAGTTTGTGTTTGGGAAAGGTCAGAAAGGTATAGCTTTAATGGTAGTAGAAGAGGAAGAAAAAGTAGGAGAGGGAATTTTCCTATTTTAATAGGAAAATCCTATTTTACGTACCTCTCTTCCTAACCTGGGGATTATTTCATAGCCTCCTGCTTCACTGGGTTTAAGATTCCCTTGGCTGTGAAGATTTCTCTAAACTGCTTCACTTTATCTACAGCAGGTTAGAATAATTTCACTGCAGTATTTTCATACCAAGAGGGCCTGCAAACTGATTTATGTGGTTTATGTGATTTATCCCTTTAGTGGTTCAAATTCAAAACCAGCAATCCGGACTGTCACTGAGCATACGTAGCTCTTATTCCTCAAGATGCTTTATAACAAGGTAACATAAATAAAGTGTTAGACTTGTATTGGTAATAAAATCTACATGAAGAGCACACAGAAGCGTTGGATGGTTTCATGATGTTTCAAATAAAAACACTCAGTGAAAGCAAACAAACAAACAAACAAAAAGAAGACACAATTTGACTAAACTGGGAAACAGCAAGAAGATGGAAAGTATTTCCTCCCTGTTAAACTACAGGAAGGAATTAGATGTCTTTCTCTGTGGGAATCCCAAACAACAAAACATTACACTGTAATATTTGAAATATTTTTACAGATCCACTTGTGCTAGGTATTCTCCATACTCATAATAATACAACCTGACACTATACAATAGGAAAGAAAGCAATCTCAGGGTAAACTAGGACTCAAACTATTCAAACATTTCATACATTTAAAGCAATTTCTTAAATGGCACCTTGAAAGAAAGTGCATAGGTGGAGTATGTTCCCTCAAGAAAAAGTACCTATAACTGTCAGTTGCATTATGCTGAACTTCCTGACTGCAGCCTGGAGAGTTGATAAAATCTGTTAATAAAATGCACGTTTTCAAGCTAAGCAGCTATGACAACAAAATGCTTGGAGATATTTTCAATATACATGACAACTTTCTTCACAAATAGACCAATTCATACTCAAAAGCAAAAACCCATCTTTTACTGGATGACTTTGCATCAGATACTTTCTTATTTTTAAGAAAATTTAAAATGTAAAATAAATTTCTACATTGTTATGCATAGGATTTTTATGGACTAAAATACATCCCAATTTTATAAAGCTGAGCATCAATCTAGAGAGATCAAACTGAAAATTCACACTCTGCTACTGTCCACTGACACAAGATCTTACTGTGATTTTGGCCAATTTATTCTACCTTATTCTCTCTTGAAAAGGGACTAACCCTTCCTACTTGTAAAAATGAGATTATAATAAATAAATGTGTCACATCACAGAGAATTGATGTGATTTAATGTAACATTCAGAAAGCAGTTTGTAGTTTGAAAGCACTAGCAAATGCTAAATTCTATTATTTTTTTACACAGAATATGAGGTAGTGACATGCAGTACTTAAGTAAGAGAAACATAAGGCCACAGCTGCAGGCATCCACTGTTTCAAGAATATTGTATACCATGAATACCTGACACTTTGCATCTTTATGACCTCCTTTATTTCACCTGTTATACAGAACATTTCTTTACCTCAAAACGAGTGTGTTTATAGCTTGTAGTTAGTGCCCTATATAAGAACTGAGAGCTCTCTGAGCAGCAAGCTCTCAGTCCTTTGATACACAACGATGTGGTCTCTTCACCATCTGAACTGCAGCAACAAAATTGAGGACTTTTCTGAGATTATTCCTTCACCTTCTAATTTTGAAATTAGAAACTTATTTCAGAATTTGCTTAGATTTAATTTCATCATTCCTCAGTGAAGCCTACAAACATTTCATTATGCAAATGCTGATTTTGTTTGATATTTCACTTGAAATATCTCTCCCAGTAAAGCCCAAAGTCTCAGAGCCATTCTATATTAATAATATTTTAAGGGTTTTTTTTTGTTTGTTTGTTTGTTTGTTTGTTTGTTTTCACTATTAATTAGGGAAAGTATTGTAACTGTAGCAGCTGTTAAAAGAAAATTCTATATGTGGATGTAGATACATAGTTATATCCTTCCCAGTGTATCCCATCGTATTCTGGACTCAGTACTGCAAAGGCATTCCATCCAAGCTCTCTTAAGGACACAGGTCTGTGCATCCGTTTTTGCCGCACAGGAAAGCAGATACTTCAGCACTGGAAGCTATGTTTGTCAAGAAACTTCGGGTATTTTTCTTAATACATTCAGCTGTAGAGTCTTAAGCCTGCTCCCAGACCAGAATGAACAGGAGTCAAATCTGAATTTAACAATATTACTAAACTGCAGACCATAGGACAAAGCTGACTCTTGCCTGCATTTATACTGGGAAATTCAAGTATGCTTGTACACATGATCTTGTTGGCACAGAATTAACACTAGTTTGTTATACTAAGAGTTTTATTCAATAAGGAGAGCCAGAATCCATGAAAAGATGACTATGCTGTGTTTTGGGTTAGTTTAAAAAGATGGTCCATTCCTCTACCTAGATTACTTCTGAAATAAATAAATAAATAATATCAAGGTGAAAATGTTGTACAGTTCTTGTTTCATGCAATATCAACATAAGACTGAGAAATTAACACCCTGTTATTGAATGGTCTAACACCAAATTCTATTTTGATATATTTCCTGGTTATGAAAATCTTGCAAATAATCCAGATAGGGACAAAACTACACTTTGGTGATAAATACAAATAATCCAAATTCCTGCTACTGCTTTCAGATGTTTGAAGACTGTACCACACTGCTAGGTGTTTCTGAAAAGGCTGTCCAATTTTTACATTTCAAGTCTCCTAGAAACAGGAATAAAATCCTTTTCAATATTTAGTATTTTTTCAGTTTTGTCCCAAGGTTCTGAAATGTTTAGTGAACACGGATGTGGAAGGGCCTTTCACGTGACATTTTTCCAATGAACTGTCTCATTTAAATTTGTCTTTTATTGACAAGTCCCAGTAGTCAACCCTATCAATAATTGCCCAATTTATAGCAGCAGATCCCCTAAAATACTGTGAACCTTACAGGCACCTAATTGTTTATCTCAAGCCAAATTCTACCACGGTACTCATCAAAACATTTCTTCAAGTACTACTTCTTACTGTAAATGTTTGCTATGGTCAATAACCAAGCTGCTGATCTTTAATCCCATTATTAATTATTTTGACCCCCCTGGGACATCAAGGCCTGTGATTTAGAGGCAGGGGAAGCATATTAAATATATGCAGGAAACAAGTCTTTAAAGAGTGTATTCGCATCAGTACCCTGCACCCAAGGATTATTTGAATCAGTTGAGAAAAATGAGAGGAGGTTTGTGGTGCCATTTAGAACTAACCAACACTAGTCAAATATTGAATGAGTAATATGCACTGAAAAGCTTGCAAACCCAAACTTATTCCTAGATATCGGTAATCATTATTGAAAGACAGCTAATTTCAAAAGAATGCTGTGTTCCTACACAGACCGCAAAAAAAAAATAAGAAAAGAACAACGATATTGAATTAGTTACCTATAGGACAAGGTATGAATTATTTACTAAGGTTGACTCATTTGCATAATTCCCCACAGTCAAGCATGCAAACCAAATCAGGTAATTCCACACAATCATGCAATTACTAATTTCATATGCAATTACTTCAGCAGTACCTGTAGTTGCAGCATTTAGAAGTACAAATTTGAAATATGCTTGTTAATTTATTTTATGCTTATAGCTAATACATTTGCAGAGTCCATGTAAATACCTAATATAGTGGTTTAATACTTAATCTTTACACTTTGGTGATAAATAGAAGACATCAAGATAAGACCATATGCTCATTACAGAAGTTTTTATCTAATTGCAGAAGAGCAAAGGCAAATTGGATTTTTGTCTCATTTGTAAGTTATAAATGGTTGAGTGTTACAAATCAGAGTTATTTTTACTAATTTCACATATTGTATTTCAATATTTATTTGAAAGAGGATGGACAACAACACAGAGTACCCTTTTCATTAATTCCAATCATTTGCTACCCTGTTGCCCAGATATTTTTGGTAGTTTGCTAACCAAGTTTTCTTCTGAAATTTTCTTTTTTACCTTCCTACATAAGTTGAAACTTAAGAAAACTGTATTCAATATTCAGAATTTCTGCAGGTGGTTATACTCAGTCTGTTCTTTGCTGTTTCTATGACTGCTGGAACAGCACTAGTTTCTTCAAATTGAATGGAAATATAATCCAATTTGTATATTGAAACAAGAACATGCACAATTTTAGTTGAAAATTATTCCAGCAAGAAAGAGCACATGTCTATAATCTATGTTCTGTCTCTCTCTATATATGTACACACACTCTTTCATGTAAACCACAAACATGTATGTTCAATTTCAAAGATTTAGCAAAGCAGAGCAAAGCACGATCAGTTTGTACTATGTATTTTGTTTGCAGCATTAGGAGATTTTAGGCTGAGAATTTTATTTTTTTTCCTTTCCCAAATTTTACTACAAGCCATGTGCACTTTTAGTGGTACAAAACAAAATAAAAATATCAAATACCATCAGTCTTTCTCAAAGGCTTTCATTTCTATCTTGTAGGCTTTCAGCTTACAAATCTTGGGATCATGGTTTCCCCCATGACAGTTAAACATGTCTTTTCATTTGAGTTCTGTGAATGTAACTCTGATGAAGCACTGATACACGTATGCAGATTATCAAAACTCCTGCATTGATTTCAATGATACTAATCATACATATGAGCAATGTATTTTCTAGTAATCCCAGTTCATTTAGATATAATATTATGGTCTTAGTCACAAGAAGTCTAGTGACACCAGAAAGGTACACTGAATCTAACTAACTAGACTTCCTGGCTAACAGTGACCATTGAAAGATACTTTCTTTACCAACCCCTAAATTATCAATTTCACATGTAAGTCAGGTAGCTATGTGGAGATAGCTTTGCTTACCATTCAGATGTCCTGAGGAAGAGAAACGTGAGAGCCAGCCATCTCAAGAAAATATAGTCACACTAGTCAATTCCGGAAGGAGTGGAACACTTCAGGTTCGATCGGTTGTTCTGAAATCACTCTAAACACAGTCCAGGCTAAGCTAGAAGCAAATAAAGTATTTTTTTTAAATTTAAGGAACAGATAAGTATTACCATATTAGTTGGGAAACACAATGAAAGGAAAACAAAAAACAAAAAGCAAAAAAACAAAAAACACACATTTTACAAGAACTTATATGCGTACTTAAGTTATATCAATATGCTTCTCTTTGCCTAAAAAATTTTGTTACTATGGTAACAGAAACTTCATAACATTCCTAGCTGAAGGCTGTGACATTCATCCAGACTATGTCTTTAGGCTACATTCAAGGAAAACAGGTCAGGCCAAGGTGCCTAAAGTTTACCTATTTTTGGTAGAACTAAAATCAAAGCTCTCTGCCTTCCACTCTTCTCCCTCTCCCATCTTCCCACTATATAGCATCCAAAAATCAGAGCAGGCTTTATGTGGTCCATCTTTCCCTTTCATGTGCCACCTTCCATTTTGGGAACACTCACATAATGATGGTCTGAACTACTTTTTTCCTCTGTCTGGTCTTATGGACAGAAAACTCAGTGAGTACATGGGAGAAAACTCTGTTCTCTTCTCTATTATGTCCATCCATCACTTTTATTATAACTAAGATGGAAAAGTTGTATTTGGAAAGAACTGTCCACGCAGAAAGTCTGATCACTTCTGTAAGTACTCAGAGAAGAAACTCTATAGCTGACATTTGTAATCTCAGTATAGTTCACTATAACCCAATTTCTTTCCTGATGAAAACAGAAAATTTCTTTCCTGATGAAAACAGAAACAAAAGCTTAAGCAAGGAGATGTCTTATTTTTATAAACTAATTAGCAATATACTGTTATAATGTTGACAAGAATAATCAAAATATGTGAGTTTAATATATGCACAAGAGGGCCAAGTTAATAAGGTCACTTCCATCTTTTCCCCTGATAGAAGCATTTCATCCTTATGTAAATGGGAAGTAAAATCCATGTCTTTCCAAAATACTTAGCTTAAGCTTTTAGACCTCAATCCAGTTTACAATATAGGAATCATCTCATTTATTTTAGTTATAAATGTTAAACATCTTTCGTTGGTTTGGTGGCTTGAACTTGTAATTTACTTTTGTCATCAAGATCTTCTTCTCTGGTTATCAAATCTGACAATTCTTTGGAGCATCAATCAGATAACCATTTGCTTTGGGGAGGAATAAGGCTACTAGATTTACTTCTATCACATGTAGTTAGCACAGTTAACACATCACAGTTAATACCATTCTGATATTATGTTTTCAGGATACAAAGAAACATTTTGCTGGCACAGACTTATCTCTGGCTCAAGGCCTAAATGTAATTACACGTATGTCTCTGAGGTGTAGAAGAGATTTCTTTAAGCACTGCAATGGTAACAGAGGCTGCCACTGAAAAGGAAGGTAGGAATCTTGATATATGAAATACAAGAAGTTATCAGTCTTTAATGACATATTTAATGCCACATGGCTTGATTGTATAACAGCTAATAGATTTGTTTTGATTTTTTGGGGGGTGTGTGTGGCTGTTTTCTTCACTTTTTTTGACTCCATCAAGAGTATATAACTGACTGACCAGGAATTACTATTTTACTTAGAAATCTAATGTCAAACACATAAATTATGCCATTAATTTCAGTTTTTAAAAACAACTAAGCATGTGTTTTGCTTTTGAGATAGATCTAATTAATGTACCATTATGGTTTTCTCTTGAAAACTTTACAATTCTCCCTATTTTATTAAAAAAAAAACAACTTTGTATTAAAATTTCATGGGTTGGGAAATCTTTGTACACATGAAGCAAAGGAATTGAATGCAAAGAAAGAAGCAGTAGAAGAACCTGCACAAGTGTTGCCTTCAGGGGGCAGTGGCGACCTGGTTCAGGAACGGCACGGCGGCCAACCCCAGGCCGCTCGGTCCATCGGCTCACAGACACCAATGTGGTGGATGGCAAATGGCGTTTATTGTCGAGTCCCATGGGGTTATCTAGCCGAGGCCCAGAGCGTCACCTCCGCTTGCTTACAGCACAGGCCACACGCTGCTGTCCATCAAGGGAGGGGCTCCACCTTTCCGTACAGCGCCACATCTTCCGGCCGCCAGGCCCTAACTACCCACAACAAGTGATCAGGAAGCACACTGACAAATAGTTTATGTTATGATAAACATTTTTGCTGGATGTGGACTCAAAATGGCAAATGACTTTGGTTGACGCAAACATCATTCTAAATGTATTTCTGCAGACTTAGGCGTTTCCTGTGAATCTTTTTTTCCACTTGGCAGAACTTACTCCGTTCTAGAGCACAGCACTGTGGGCAACTACCCTGTGCTCCTTACTCCCCTGCTGAACCACATTTCCCGTATAATTTTTCCTGCAGTATACTGCGAAGTGAATGCAATAAACAATTGCACTCCCTGGTCTTCACATCCTTCAAATATGTAATACTCTTTTTTCTGTCCCTGCCTGACCCACTTCTCTGACAAAGATACCAGCAAGGGGATTTCACAGAGCTTTGCACCACAATGCTGACTGCTCTAGACCTACAGATTAATCTATGAGAATTCAACACTTGACCATACACAGCTTTATAAGTTAGCCACCACAGAGCTTTCTACACAGCTGCACATGAGTTCTGAGTCTCTGAAAGACAATGGGTACAATGTCACCTGCAAAAAAATGAAATTTAAACCAGGTAATTTCAACACAACACCTGACAGTCACAGGGTTCGTAATGCATACAAAGATTAAAGCACTATTAGTGCAAGAGAGAAGAGTAATTCTAGAGACAGACCTTGTCTGTGGCTCCATTACAGATGGGAGACTGGCAAACTGCCTCACCCAAAAAGAATACGAGGACCACTGTTAGCTACTTCCAGGTGGTTACCTAGGACTCCTTAGTATTCTTGGTAAGCATGGTACTTAAAACTAAATTAAAACAGAGATCCAAACAGATATCTGCAACAATTTCTTGATAATTTGTTTTACTCTATCTCAGAAGAATTTCTGAGCTTTACTTGATTTTCTGTACAATTAATCACAAAACAAAGAGTTCCAGATTTGTCAACATACCAGGTCCAGAGCATGTAATTTACAGAAAGATTACATCAGGTGCCAGATGTGGCCTTCTCAAGTGAAAGTAACTATTTTGATTGATCTCTGTTTATACCCCATCCTTTTACAAACACTGAAGAAAGCTTATTATTTAGGTAAGGGGGTGCAGTACTTAAATGAAAACGTAATCTTTTTCATTTATACCATCAGCCTCAGATAATGGCCAACAATTAGCAAACATACTGCACATTACAGGTTCAGAACAAGGTTTCCATAAGATTAGACAAATTCCTGAAATGGAACACAACTGAAGATTACTGAAATTATCTAAGTCTGGTCAAATTGCCGGAGACAGGGAGAGTAGTCAGAGATGGTATTATTACAGCTTTTCTTTATTCTTACATCCCTCCTCTGGTCATGGATGGACCCATGCAACAGAGCCATTCTTATTTTCTTAAACAATGTAGAAAAAGAATGAACATATTGCTCTCTTATTATTGTAAGAGTCATCACAGAACCTCTGATTGAGTAATCTTCATGTGCCTTACTCCCTGAATTCCCAAAATTCTAGTTTCAGCTCAATTTTTAAACAGTTGACATTTTCAATGAGATGATAGAGTCAATGATTTTACCACTTAAGCTTAAAGAATTTCAAGTGTGTTACTTTCCATGCTTTACTTTTATGTGATGACCACTTGTAACAAAAATATTCAGATCTATTGTGATCAAGTTAAATAGCATTATTTTCAAAGTACTGGTGGTTGCAGAGTACACAGCAAATTTTTTTTAATTTTTAATATCAAATTAGATTTCTTAGTATGATTCATGTTTGTAGAATCAGAAAAGGAAGCACTTAAAAAGACTGCATTCTTCAGACTCCTTCTCCCCAAAGAAGCTACGTGTCTAGGGATGAAGCTACAAATCTGCCTACTTCCTAAATATTTCCTGTAGTTCTCACTGGCAAGTTCAGTTGGAAAGTGTCTGCAGGGAACAAAAAAAATGTGTTTACTACAAAGAAATGTTCAAATTATTTATTTTAAGAATCTACAGCTCAGTAGGTTGTGCTTTTAAAATCCCTGGCTGACAGTCCATAGCTGTTTCTAAGAGTATTAACATTTTTTTCCATGTCTTGCTAATTGGTATATTTTCTCTTTGTACAGAAATGCTTGAAATAGTGATGTTATTGTTAAGAGTAAGGAGATAGTTTCCAGAAAAAGTGGTATTTACTGAGGAAAATGCATATTACCAAAACCCAGGAAAGAAGAAATGAATTTCATTGTTGAGATCTATTTATCAGCACTCCAAAATATTATTGTCTGCAATTCTCAGATTATTTCAGGAAGTGTGCCAACATCATAAAATACAGGAAACAATAATGAGAAGCTCCCTTGCCTCTGTCATGGCACCTTAAATTATTTTTGATGAACTAGGCAGGCTTCCAAGATTTACTTTTCAGAAATCTACGACAACACTCAGACTGAATAAAATCAAGCTTGGCTCAGTAGCAGGCAGCTGCAGTCTTGGGAAAAGAGCCTTCAGTTTCCCTTTCCTTTCCCAGAACTCTTTTGCTTAATAGCACAAATCCACAGGACCCAGACTGTTAGCTCATAAAGCCATATGCTTTTTAATAATCTGCAGGAGCCATAAGAATATTTAACTAAGTGTTAGTTTCCTTTAGTCAACTTCCTAGTCCCAGGTTTCTTTAGCTTTTCCTTCATGAATAAATTTAAATCTAAGCAGCTTTCCCTTGTCTTTCTTGTCTTAGCAGTTTCACAGCTTGAAGGACAGAAAAATGATTTTTTTTTAACTAAAGTTTTCTTTTTAAAAAGCCACTGATAAGTACATGATTAGAAGGCGAGAATGAACTAAGTTTGTGTTGTTCACATTAAATGCGAACAAGAAAATGCACATCCTGCACTTGTTTCTATCTTTGCCACAAGGAAGAGGAGCCGGTGTTTTAATACCTCATTTACCTCTGAAGAATGGCAGTAAACTTTATTACCGTGACCTTTTGCACGATCCTTCACTTGAATTGCTGGGTCATTCCCTGTTCTCCCCATTTACAATATCACTAATCAGCACAAGGGCATGCAAACCAAAGAGATTTGAAATATCTACTCACTTTAAAACACAGAAATCTAATTTTTTAAAACTTGTATTTACAGTTCCTGAAAGCTTCATCTCTTTTCACTGGCTTTGGTAGACAGTAGCTTTCTTCTACATCATTTTTGAAGCAAGTAACCAGAAACTATACAGTATTTGAGCTATTTTGCTATACCACTGCCTGCAGGAGCTGCCATTCTGTTCAGAGACACAGGTTGCTGATCCACATCAACAGGAAAACAGAGGAGGTATATTTTGCAACATGTGCTAGGAACAAACATGATTTCCTTCAAATAAAAAATGATTTCATTCAATCCTTATAATTCCTGTACTGTTGTGGCCTTGTTGTGATCATTAGATATTGAATTACATTGCATGCTCTTTGTCTTGCACCTTGCTATCTGGTGACATTCAAATAAATTATATTTTTCCATCATTCCAATTAATCTCAAAGATTATACTGCTCTTACCCTTTCTTTCACAGATTGGCAAACTTTTAACATATTTAGAAACAGAGCTAATGTGCTTAGCCCTTCATTCCTCTAAAATTATGACTAAAAACTCTGAGAACACAGACACTTAAAAAAAAACACACATGGCTTTACCTCAAAATAAGCATATATTGACTATCTATAGTCATTTACATAAAAAAATAAGAAGCTGATAGTACTCTTCTCGGAAGTGCATCAGGATCAATGATTCTGAAGTCAATGGAAGATATTTGCAGCTCTTTAAAACGTATAAACTGGCTCCGTTCTGAACACCCAGATACAGTTTTAGTTATAATCCATTCTATTGATCTGATCACTAAGTAGAGATGGATCAATTTTCAAGAGCTTAGGAAAAAGCAGGAAAAAATATCTTAGAAGTATTAGAAGGATCACTTCATGAAGAAGAAAAGTGTCAAGCTGAACTGCTTTCTTGGGTAAAGGAAAGCAGCTACCAAGCTGTAGAGCATGAGCAAGGTTTAAACACAAAAAGTAAGTTATTGTGAATATATACTGAGTTACAGCAAGCAGTGGCAAATGGCAGTACTGACTCTTCCAGAACTCTCCAGATGTGCCCTCCACACACCTGCATTTCTACCCCACCTCCCTTGTTATTCTCAGTATTCAGGCAGACCTTTGGGCTGTATCCTAAGATGTCAGCAACACGAAGGTAACTAAGCTCACACATCAAATATGAGTATTTGCATTTCTCAGCACTGTCGGGGGCAAAATGAAAGGTTCATGATTAGAGTAATAAAGTGAAACCACAACAAGGGAAGATAGACATTGACATATGCCATACAAGCAAGATGGCATAATCATCAAAATGGCACATACCCAGATAATTCCTCTACATTTCCAAAACAATACTGAATGCCCTAGTAGAAATGTTACAATGAGTTCCTGCTGTTATGTCTGTGAAGGGAACACATGCTTTCTGGATCATATTCAGACTTTGGGACAGAAGTATGTGAATTTCTTAAGTGAACAGAAGGCTGAAGATGCACATTATTTTTAAACATATCACAGAAACTAGGAATGGCATAGAATAAAACGGCCTTCACAAAAGCTTGTCCACAACTCTGTAGTTCCCTTGTACAAATTTACTTCATATAGAACGATATTCAAGACCTATAATATCATTATAATTTTCATCCCTTAGCAAACAAGGAGTAGATTACAATTCTTGAAAATGGTGAGAAACAGTGTTTCTCTTGGCCAGCTAGCTGTCCTCAAATACAATTAGCACGGAAAAAAAAAATAATCAAGTTTGTTATCAGTAAAGCATGTATTATAAAACCTTATATACTCCCACAGACTAAGTTCATCAACAATTGCATTTGATCCTCATCCAAATCACTATGATTTCTCTAGAGGAATTTAAAAGAAGTATAATTATGACTTCAGGATTAACTACAAATCATAAGCAGAGAAGGGAAAGACAATTCATGTTACCATGAAATAAAATGGAAATGGTATATCAACACAACAAATGAGTTAGAAACAATGAAGATGGAAAAGTGGCATGTGTTTTTCCATTCTTCTCCAGTAACTGGTTATAAATATTCATTTCATTCATGATAATTATTCTCAAATTCCTGCTGCTATTACTGGCCATGAGAAGGATCTTGTGGGTCAGACTGCCAACAGCTCATAAAAGCAAGTTTCTAGAAAGTAGTTTCCAATTCCTAATTTGACTCTGGCTACTGGCTACAGTTGGACAAAGAAATCCTTCCGCTTACCTTGTTCTTATTTCATCATCTCCAAGGAGTTAGTCCTGTGAGTCTTTCTGAGCTTCGCATCTTCTTTAATAAGGAATAAGTCTCCATGGGGGAAGAAAGAACACAAATTAGACAGGGACAGGGATGGGAAGAAATAAAGGCTACTAGAAATTTGAAATTCAGAATAAAAATCCCTCAGTCTGCACAGCTGTATATCAGAAGTGTGCATTGTATAATTTGAAAGCTCATCATTAGATCAGTATCATGCAATGAAGCATGGACTCATTTTTGTAAATCACAGGGTTTTGGATGTTTTGCTCACAGATCACCAGAACTGGAAGATGTCTGGTTCAATATTTTTTTTTTTGACATTTTTTGCAGATATTTCATAACCCATAAATGTCACTTATCAACATGCACTCAACATATCACCTCTTTGCCAACAGCAGCATTTGTCCTTACCAGCATTCCAGTCTCTATCTTGTCCCAATCTTTTCCCCCACTCCAATTCTTCTCTCTTTTATTCTTTATTAACCCACAAGACAGCAATAGTGAAAACACAAGGAACACTATGATATAGTTACTTCGAAAACATTTTGTAAAGTTTTTCCAACTAAATAACTGATGTGGGTAAGTATCACTTTCAAAGGACATTAGGTTCCTAGCTGTCCATCTCACTCCTTTGCAGGAAATTACTGCCCCCACTCCAGAGCATAGCAACATACATGCATGCAACCCTACTATTCAAGTTCACAGCTTATGTATCAGTAGCAATTTAAATACTAAGCTGTGAATGAGATTGGCAGAAGTGCTGACACACAACTCACTGTTCTGGGGCAGAACCTTCTAGCAAAGGACTGGGATGCAAAAGAGTGACAGCAAAATTCAAAACTGTTCCCACTAACTTACTCAATCCATCTGTCAAAGTACCCCAACTTCCTGGTATGCTTCCAAAATACTTTGCCAGGTTTTAGAAGCAGAAGAGCCAACAACCATGGCACCCGAAGGAAGTTTCTCCTTAGGACAGTTTGCTCAAATGCTGACATACAAACACCACAACTACTATCAGTAGAAAAGACAGCTTTGAGTTAACTCTGGTACCTTTACAGGACACTGCACTAACAGCCTAAATGCCATTGCTCATTGAGACTTCAGTTCCTCACTGCCTATCTGAAAAACAAAGCAAGTTCCTACAATCACTGCATATCTTTGGAAAAAGAAAACAGCTCTTGTGCATTAGGAAAGACAAACTCAGCAGACAACATTTCTCAATGGTTAAACAACCTAATGGGCATCATGAGGGTGAAGGGGGGTCAAACTGATGGGAACAGAGCTATAGAGATTGTTAATCCCTTTTTCCTGTCTCTCCACCAGTTTTAGATTGCCCTCACTGCCTTCCCCTCACACACCCTTTGGGACAGGCAACACTGACTACACTACTTCAGAAACAAGTCGTGTAGAGACCACATGCCTGCAGGCTGGTGGAGGTAAGGTGCAAGGTGAGAAAATATCTAGTTCAGTAGGACAGGGAAAGATACCAAGAATTTCAGGAGACAGGCTCATACCAAAATGTGTGCTCTTTCTATACAAACACCTTTGAATTTCTACAGAGCAGAAAAAATTATTTCAAGCAACAACGATCAGTTTAGCTTTCAGTATAGACAGTTCCTTCATATTCCAGAAGAATATGCTGATCTAAACAATCTTTTAAGTATTTTTAGATTTCATTACAGATACAGTAGGTATAGACAAACTATGCCATTAAGATATTTTTATTATGCAATAAAATCTAAGTAATTAATTAGAATTAGTACATATTCTGTAGCTGACTGACTGAATAAAGTCTTTCTCAATTTTACTCTAATGCAGCTCCAATGAAGAGATGTTTCTAAAATATTCAAAACCAACATTAATAACAGAAGCTTTTATAACAGACTTAGTTCCCAAGAGTGCACAAAACAGATGTTTGTAGAAAAGTTCAGGTCTCGGGTCTGCATCCTAGCAGTCTCATATAATAAATAATAAATAAATAAATAATAATAATAATAATAATACTTATGTGTACTCAACTGCCCATAAAAATGAAGCAGAAAAGATGGAGAGCACTAGCTGGATATTGGAAATGCTGGTGTTCTGTCAGTATGGGAAAAGTAGTTCTCAATATAGATCAAGTACAAGAAGATACTCAGAACAGCTGCTCTACATTTACAATATATAATTAATCTCACTTGTATAAACCTAAATATTTATAGACATTTATTTTTCCTCCACAATACTAACCCAGTTTTATTGAATGAAGACAGATAATCTTCCAAGTACTTTAAAAAATGCAGCTAAAAAAATCTGATCTTATGCTGCAGCTATGTTAGATCTGACTTTACACCTTAATAAAGCCATAGAAAATACTAACATTTTACTTTCTTGAAAACCTATAATAAAATGTGTAACTTTCATTAGTACAGAGCTAGCATTTTCTACCATTTTATGAAAGATGAACTACTTGAAAAGACGTACTTAAATCTGAAATCGCAATTAATTGGCACCACAGAAAACTGTACATACAAATACACATTTCCATCCATCAGTCCCCAAAATATAACTAAAAACAGAAGATAAATCTACCTGCCTAAAAGCCCCTTTGAAATACTCAAAAAATATAATATGAACCATTTTGAGGCATTTTAAATGTAATCAAATGAAAATATTTTGACACTTTATTCTTTTAATGCCATTTAATTTTATAATACCTTGCTTTTGAATTGCAGCAGATGCTGTGATTTTTATAGGTGTACAGCTGTACACCTGATAACCAAACCAACATCATCAGGTACTTCCTCTTAGAACAGCTCTGACTGAAAGCATGACCAATATACAAGATTTGTTCCATATTAACGGGTTGTCTAGAAAGCCCCATTTGTTTCTCTTTCTTGAATGTTATCAGTCAAGCATTTTGTAATCGAGGCCTCTAAAGGGCACCTCAGAAATGATTCCCAAGCTATTTGGTACCCAAAAACCTCCAATCTCTCAGTAATCCTGGCGCACTAGAGCAGAGCCCACAGGTCCAGGGTGAAAGAAATAGTTTCTACCCTCCCAGGATTCAGCAGCATTGCTAGCCATCCAAGCAGATATATTGGAAATACTACCCTTTTCCATCCTCTTGTTTCATTGATAGAATTTGTTTATGGGCAAACACCGGAAACAAGCTGGAATTCTTATTTATTCATTTTTAATATCATTAATTTCATTCTTTTGGATCTTTTATCTTTCTTGCACAGTTTACTTGACTGCTTTAATTCTAGTCTCAGCTGTCCTGATAAGTAATCAACATTAATGATCCATTAGGTGGGTTATTCTTAATAATCCTTTTTAATTCAAATGCTTCATTGCAGAATTTCTTCTAAGGCTTGTGTAGCACTCAAAATCCCTACTACAAGAGAAAAAGCTAGCAAATCTAGATAGGGAATGGTGTTCAAAAGGATCCTATCCACTTACAATTAGTACTGAGCCTCATCCATGATGTACAAGTTATCTCCTCTTAGAGCATACAAAAAAAACAGAAGTAGGAAATTAAAAGAGGACCACAGATGAAATCTGAGGCAGAGTACCAGAACATAGTGCAGCAGAATTGTAGAAGATATTAAAAAAAAATAAAATCTGAATTTGGAATGTGGAAACATTAGACAATAATAAAGAATATTTCCTCACATTGCTGGTTGGTTGCAAGTGGAATGATTTTTTGTTTGATGAACATTCTGTAAGCAGGACAGAGCTAGGGGCATTCCTTGCTTGTCCTTCAGAAATCATGCGTACTATACAATAGGAAAGATTCTATTAGATTCCATTACCTTTCTCACATCCTAGCAGGCCTTTGAATCCACTGACCCTTCTCTTTTTTCTCAGAGCTCCTAAAACTACACTGGATGGTCTACAACAAGAAAATGCTCTGGCAAATCACAGCATGACAGTTCAGGCAAACGCGTCTGATGCCAAGCGGTACTATCTCACTTCTCTGATGGTCACATATCTTTACCTACTGTGAAGTTCACACCACTTGCCAATCCTATGCACACACTGTGCCTACACGAAGAGTTTGCTGCCTTCATTCAACCCTACAAGCAGGGTAGCCTGAACAGCACACCAGCAACCGGACTTCAGACTTGCTTCCAGCAGAAGGGAAAACAATGATGTGTTCCAGTGTATACAGCAGGTCTGGTGGAGGCAACAACACGAATCTGCAACCCAACAACCCCTCCAGCTCACATCACTCCCCCTAACAACCTGCAGTTCCCCCCCCCCCAGCTCTCATCATCATAGACATCACCATCAAAGACAGAGGCCATGACATTTTGGCATGCTGAGCACAATTTCCAGTGTGATTTCTGTGAGGAGAGGTGGCACCTATCAATCCAAATGACAAAACATCCAAAATTTTAAGCATTGTTCTGACACCAATCTATTCTACAAGGTATAATGAATAAATGTTTCAGCTTTCTCCTGGTAAAACAGAAGTAATTACCCCATAAGAAGGGAAGTAGGAAGTACATGCAGATTAATTGTTACTTGATAGGTCTTGAGAAAACAATGACTCTCTTCTAAGTAGATACATAATTTTTCACACACTCAGAGGTCTTCTCAATATGCAGAAGGACCTAGAAGCATCACTGCTTGTAGTACTTTCTTGTGGTGGCAAAAAATACATGCACAGCAACCATGAAGGAGTTAAAGTGAGATAAATGTAGGTTACATTGGAACTTTAACAAATCGGGACCCAAAGATACACCAGCCAGTGAGGGTTAGAGGCATCTGAGGGTCATGAGCCTCAAAGCTAAATGAAGGTCTAAGCCCTGCTGTTACACGTTCTGAAGATTTCCTAGAAAAAGTGTTTGGTTTTCTGCCTCTGTTTTTCAGCGCATACTGCAAGATGATAAATGCATATGCTACTCAGATGAGCTACCTTCTTTGTTTTCCCTCTGGTACTATTAAGGATGTGCCAGTGGCTACGAAATAAGAAAGTTACTTGACAAATTTCAAGTAAATTCATGGTGAAATATTAAGCTTCATTCATCTTTTCTGTGGCCCTTAAGTAAAACAGGGTTCTGTAAAAAATTTTTGGGAGGCATAATAAAGACGATGCAAGCAGTAATGCAGCTGATAATCATTTATGAAGAAAGTAAAGGGAGAACATTCCCAAATACCAGTGCACAAAGTATTTCCACTAACATCTTAGGCCTAATATACTCCATTTTAAAACAGACAATTAGATAACTGCTATAACATGCACCACTGGGGGAAGATGCGAACTACGACTGGCAGAAAGCAAACAATCCAGTGTTCATTCATCCTGTTACCTTGAGAGGCAAGCTTCTCCGTGAGAAAAGATTCAGTGGATGAATTCAAGCGCCTTGAGAATCAGCCTCAAGACTTCTTGAAAGAGACTATTGTGCTTTGTTAAGTAATAAAGTATGCACTTACTTTCTGGTCTTCTTTCACCAAAGAGTAGACTGATGTTCATCTATTAATACTGTCAACCCACAGCAATCAAGAGACGTGGTTCCTTATTCTTGTTTTCAAAAATTTCCTTCATCAATAAAGCATTTTTTTCTATAGGGAGTAAACAGAGTAATGACAGTGTCATATGCGTCTTATTCTTATGAAGCACAGGTCCTATAGTGTCAGATGGCAAGCCTAGCATCCTAGCACCAATTTCAGCAGTCTTGCCAGGTCACTCCTATAAAAGATCCAGCCCATGATGTTATGAGCTCATACTAATTCCAGACATAAACATCAGTCAGATAACAATCTGAAATTGGGATTAATACATCACTCATGTGTTCAAATTCTCAGGTTTGATAGTAACAAGCCTGATCTCAGATCTGCTTAAACGAGTGAAGAATATGCCTTCTTCCTTTCAAACCATTTTGAATCTGTCTCTATTTTCTCTGTGAAGAAAAAACAAGTCCTTCTCTTACTGTAGGAAAAAACAAACAAACAAAACAAAAATAACTCTAAGTAGAACAAAATAGGGCAGTCCTCAGTGTAGCACTGAGAATTAGTTTGACAGAAAGACATTAATGAAGCACTAAAATCATCAATGAAGCAATAAAACAAAACAATAACTGTGATAGCATGCTGCAACCAACCATAGGGCTAGAATTCTTCATACAATTTCTCCCTGTTATGTGGAATATCGGTACAAGCACTGTTCAAACATATGGTCTGTAGACTTTGAATTATTTAAAATTGACGGAGCCTTTCTCCAGAAGGTTTCCCAAAAATACTAAAAGAGAATCAAGGACAAAATCATGCAAACAGACTTGACCGCTTTCCTGCTTACAGCTCATAACCTAACTACAAACCAACAAACAGCAAACTAGACTTAAATATTCTTCTGATGAGGACTAAATAAATGAATACATGTAATTACTAAAACTATAATTACCCAGTGCAATGTTCCCGTTATTGCAACAAAAAGAGTGCGCCTGTGGAATAAACTAGCTGCCTTCCTTCCAGGATAACCAAACACTGGGGTTAAAAAAAAAAAAAAAAAAAAAAAAGAGAGAGAGAGAGAGAGGAGAGAGAGAAAACCATGAATAATTCAGGATTTGACTTGCTTTATTCAAAAAGGGCCTTGCATGTAAATTTCAGATGAATCCCATATTCACTGAAAACACACTAATTTACTTTCAGAATAGTAAATGGAGAAAATATTTTCCATTTAGGCTACTGCACTGCATACCTGTTTGGCATCCTGTTGACACACCAATGAATGATTAACTGACATAAGCATCTCAGCCCCTTATCCCAAACGTGTGAATCACACTGCTAAAGAGCCTTCTTCATCACTGGACTTTGCTTTTTTTGTTATTAAGTAAGCATACTTGCATAGGCAAGATTGTCAAAAATCAGACAGCAGAACTATTAAACAATAAACAAGGATAATTAGATCACATTTGAATACCACTTTTTATAACTCCGGTGAGGGAAAAGGAATGGTGACAAGTTCTCTGATGCTTTTGTTCCTAAATTAATGTTATCAAGTCATTTACTCACTTCAAAGAGCTACAAAGAAGTAAAATGGAAGAGCATTCCATGTAATGCAAGATTAGCATTGTTTTAAACCTGTCCCAAAACAGAGTTTTACAGCATACACCAGGGAAAAGCCACAGAGAACTTAGCACCACATCAGACATCCTGGTGTGCTTTCACAGCAATCACCAAACTGGATGAAGTGTTAGAGTGAGCTACTCCACATCTCTTCCAGTGATCTGGCCAGAAACATCAGAGGCAAGAGCAGGAGCCCAGCCAGTCACGATACAATTAACTGCCAATTTCTTCAGTTTACATTTCTCAGTAGGATTTTACATTAAAAGCAGGCATCCTGTGATGTGCCATACCTACTAGATTAAAGCAAAAGGTGGATGAGGTTGTCATTTTAAGAGGCTGCGCAACATTTAGTGTCATCAGTGCAGTCCCCCAAGGAGTTAGCCTTTACCTAACCACAGAAAGCCTTTCAGGATTTCTTAGGATTGAGGAAAGCCTCTTACTTCTCTTGGTCACAGTGGAGATTTGGCTCCTCATCTCTACAACTCAAGGTAATTCTATCTATGCACAACAGCCTTTACTTCTGTCTATAAACATGCTTCCAAATGAATGAGTCTTCTCAGTTCTATTAATTCAAAGTGTATTGAGGACTATGAACTTATTCACAAGCAGCATGAATCACTCTCAGAAACTCTGACACCTAAGTGTTTCCCAATATTGTAATAACGTAATGTCTGCCACTATAACATTGGGATACGCACAGGAGCCAAGATATCGTGCATTTTAGCAGCATGGGAAATGAGGAGTGTTAGCAGAGTCATATTTGATTTTACTTTGGTTATAAACATTGCAGTTTAATATTTTCTTTACAGCATGTTAAAATTTAAGGATTTTGCATAGAACTTCTGTATTCACAATTATGATTTTAACCTGCTTTGCAAGTAGTTGTGCTCTTGTGAACATAAGAAGAGTCATTAAATATCTGAAAGTTTCCCTATCAAAGGACTGCTTCATATAATGGCTATTGTCTGCATCTTGAGACAAAATCACATATAAACTTAATTCATGGGAGAGCATTGGAGAAAGCAATCCCATCAACATGTTTTAACCCAGGTCTGTAGTTGAGAATGAATAAAACTTGACATATATTTACATGTTCCTTTATTCTGCACAAGGACATACCACTCTGGAATGTAAATCTGCAGGTAGCATCTCAAAGTGAGTACTTTGCTGATTGCAAATTAACCACAATGACTGTTATGACAAAGAGCTAAGTCAGGTGAATGGCAAGTTGTAACAGTAATCAAGTGCTTTTAAAGTTTCTATTTATTGTTTAAAAGCAAACAGAACAAAACCTGTCTTCTGGCTGAGGATAAGGTCACCTGAGAGGAGGTTAAAGTATACTTTCAGGAATGAAAATTAAGGGGCTGTCATCCGTAACAGTGTGCTTATTGACCTTTTAGGTGTGACAATTGAATTATAGGAATCTACATGTGTGGTAGTTTCTTATTTATCATAATGCATTCCATAAGGAGAAGTTTCACACATAGGAAGGAATGACACAGGATTCCAGTACCTATCAAGTGGCAGTTCTTTACGGCAGGCAGTACACAACCCATTTCACAGTCATTATTTTATCTGCATCACACAATGCTTAGAAATTCTACCGTACAAATAACAAAGAAATGGAGGCTGCCTCAGAGCTTCCTGTTGTAAGCTGTCTGCAGGTGCCCCCTTGTGTACCATCTGCTACTCACTGCCAAATGCTAATAGCCTCCATCACTTGAGCTGTCAATAAAACATAACAACAGAGAGAAAAGGTTCTAGATGCCCCAAAATACAGAAAAAGAACACTTCAGGAAAAAAAGAAAAGGTAAAAAAATAAATACAAATTCCATGACCTGGTTTCAGTCATTTTTCCTTGTATGTGCTTAGAAGAAGAAAAAGTAATTGAGAGACACACTGGATATTTTTTTCCTGTAAACACATAAGGCAGTCTCCAGAGCTTAAATGGACTGTTACTCCATTTCACCCGTAGAGCAAACCAAAAAGGCCAGCTGCTTATGAATTTGACTCACTGAACTCAAAAAGCTGCAGTGAGTCGTATGTTTCCTATGCTCACTGTGGGGTTGTCATAGTAATGATTTCTCCCTGTCATTTTTCACTTTACCACACGACTCCATGGGATCAATTGCACTTAGCTCAGCATGGACAAGTATATATATAGTAGGCAAGGGAATGGAACTGCAACTTTGTTTTTCCCCTAACTCCATTGGAAGGCATCCCTCCATTCAAACAACAGCCAGGTTACGATAGCATTAGAGTTCCTAAAAGGAAGGAGCTAGAATGTTTCTATCAGCCGACAGAGCTGGCCCAAAGCAAAACAAAAAATATGTTTACAGGGCCATAATCATTTCATAAAACCCCACAAAGAAAACAGAATACCTAATTTATACTCAGGTATATGTTGGAGTTCATAAGAACATAAGTGACTTGCTTCTTGCCTTTAGGCAGAAGCTCGTAGGTATCTTCAGTCTTTAGTAGGAGGCACAGGAACTTCACAAACTGCTGAGGATGGTGGTGGCTGGTACAGCTGCACCTTCACAGCGGTTCAACTAGTTCTCCTGTTAACTGAAAGAAGAACAGCGATGCAGAGTCAAGATATTTTCTAGCACCGTGCTTTTGTTTACTCTGAACAGAAAGAATCAAAGCACAGTGCATGAACAACTCCTTGAAGAAGCAGCAGTTAAGATGTTAGCCCTTTCAGCAGATTAATATTCTGGCACTGAGAGACTTTCCCTGCCTTAGCCCCAGGCATTCTCATCTTGGAATTGCCTAAACCAAAGTTACTCATCTCAAAGTATACACCCTCGGTATAATTCTTCAGGAAAAAAAAAAAAAAAAAAAAAAAAAAGGAACTTCAGGTAGCCTTGCCTGGAGCCAGTTTTTGACCACTTAACCAATGCAAATTCTCTCCATGATCATCAGCATGTAATTATTTTGTGCGTTCCCTCACGTGAAGCTCTGTTTAAAACTAATTCCACATGGCTTGCTGTTTTGCTCTTTGCTTGTTTGTTTGTTTCATTTTTAATACTCCAAAGAGACAGCATCTCATCAAATCACCCATGATAAATTCCTCTTTGCCCAGTTAATTTACTGCAAGGCTCGAAATAATTTCTCAATATCTACAAACCTCCCTTCACTTACAATGTTACCTGTAATCTAAATGAAGCTCTTTTCTTTTCTTCCCATAGATATTAATTGTGAAGTATATTCTGACTTCAACACTACATTTGAAGCCACAGCAAGTAGCTTATGCATTTCTCACACTGAGAGTATTTGTGATCTGGAGTTCATGAACCATGGTGTATTTTGATACAATAAACAGTACTTTGGCACATTCTGTCCAGAAAGACAAGCAATCACGGACACACATTCAAGCATATTACTGGCCAAATTCATCCCAAAGTTACTAATTTAATTACGCATAACCATTTACATAATAGCAGTTTGGATTTTTCCTGTCATCCTCATAATAAAAATAAAAAAAATCCCTAACTACTGAATATTGCAGATGAGCAAAATTGAAGACTCTAAAGGCAGAACCCAAAGCAAGATGTTTTCAGACAGCTATTCCAGATTTAGAAGCTGCACATAGGAAATACGCTTCACTGGTAATCTCTGGCTCAAACTATAATCTGCAGTTTCATACTCACCTGCAGTCAGCAATTAATCCAGACATCTGTATATTATATTACTGTTACCTAAAGAAAATAAATCAGGTTTTATATTCCATCAGTATTTAAAACCAGCTATTAAAAACAAATAAAAGCAGAAAAATTGCACTGCAGTCATATTGCAGCATTCCCAAACACACTTGGTGATCCCAATGCAGAGAAAAGAACAAGGTGTCCTAAACCCCTCCTAGTGAGATAGCACCCTCACAGTGAATTCACAATTACACAGCAAGGTAATGTGAACTCCAGATCAAAGCACAAACAGGTAGGAAACACCAGTTCCACTTCTGAGAAGTGCGAGAAGGAAAATTACCAGCAGACTGCTTTTTTCCTGAGATGCACGTAGAGCAGATAGCAGTGTCTGAAGCAAGTGGTTTACATTAGATGCTCACATTTTTGCTTACAAGGACTTCGTCATTTTAGCCGCATATTTCAAGCATTACGGTAATATCAGTACCTGAAAAACGCACAAGCCTTATACACAAATGGTCTCAGAAAAATTCATACAGAATTAGAGGAAAAAAAAACAACTTGCAAGTATGGATTTATTCTATTTGAGCATGCCAGTCTCATTGGTTTCTCTAATTGCTTGTTTGCATAAGCAACTTTCACCCAGTTTTGGAAATGTAACCTATTTCTGTTTAGGAGGCTTCATGGTACATATTGTAATTAGCATGTTTGTAGCCCCCGGTGCAAAGTGTTCCTTCACCGTTGACTGAAAATATAATACAAATGGAATCATTACTTTTCTTTTGCTTCCTACATCATTCAAATATCATAACTGAAAGATCACAAAACTTGGCATGCTATTAGACTCAGACACAATAAACAATGACCCAACATGTTTTTGAGACAATCCCCTGAAGGTAAGTATTCCACATAAAGCCCCACAGTCCAAATTTCAGAATTAATTATTTTTGTCACTTGTGACAGGCATTATGAATCTGAGTTAATTAAATTAGGAAGGACTGTAAACAGAGTAACAGCTCAAAAGAAATGCATCTTTTTGATAAAATGCGCCATGGATTTTTGATGCTGAAATACAGGGTCTGGTTGGAGAACAAAGCTAAACCTACTGAGAAGATGATTTATATAATATGGATATATTGCTTCTGCTAGTTAACATGATTAAAAGACTATGTTAGAAGAGACTGTCAGGCAAAAACTGATCGTTCTGATTGACAATGGCAATACAACCAATACCGGTATTTTAATGAGCATACGGCCACCAGTCCCAGAGGAATGCAGAAAAAAAGCATTGCAAATGTTTATCAGTTTTGAAGATAGTAAAACACCACAGTTTCTCTTTGAGAAAGGATGCAAATCCCCAAAGTCTACCAGATCAAAAGCAGAACAATCACACCAAAGTACAGAATATAATGATATAGTCATGCCAAGAGATTCAGAAGCCTTTCCATAGCAAAAGCATATGACGGGCTAAGACCATTCAAATAAACACACACAATGATTTCAGAAATTTGTCATCGTCTCAAGCCATACCATCAGCACATAGTATTTTGTCCTGGACAAACATCTCAAGATTTGACTCTTAAAAGCAAATAGACAATTAGTTTTAAAACTGAGTAACTGAAACACAGTTTGTGGAAACTATCAGGAAGCATTTCATAGACATATCAATCCCCACAGCAAATGTTTATTTTAATTAGCAATCTTAACAGGTCCCATTAGGTCCTATTTTAATTTAATTAGCAACCAACTCTGCTGAGTTTGTAAATTAGCAAAACCCTTCCCAATCATTGTGCTGGAACTTCCCAGTAAATTACAAACAGGTCCTCAAACAAAAGTTCATGGAAACTACATTAACATTTACAGGCACGTTAGTCAAATCAAGACCACAAACAAATCATAGATGCCTTAGATGGATCAAAAGTGGTGAAGCAGCAAGTCTCATAGACGTTCAGTACTGCCTATGTAAGGTAAGCATCAGGAGCCTGAGATCCAGCCTGCAATACACCAGAAATAGCGTAACACGGATTAACTTCTTACTGTGAGATACCCAAAATATGCATCCCAACTGCACAAGCCATGGCTGAGCTCCACTCTCCACAGACATGTCACTGCCAGGTTTGAGACTTCCAGAACATACAGAAAATATTATAAACTTTAAGGTGAACATTGCCTGAAACAGTTCAGACATAAGTGACAACAGAGGGTGTACCAGAAAACTTTCACTCCTCTTGCATAATACAAATGAGATTCAAGGCAAATTATTTCACTACTGTTCTGGATCAAATCATTTTACATTTTGCACCCTGTGCAATATTTTTTCCTCATTTTCTCTGCCTTTAAGTGGAATTTTTTTTTCCTTACACAGTTCATTCCTTAGAAGATCATGAATATAACATTTTTAAGCCTGGTTTATACGACTTTGGACAGTTTCAATGGGTTTCTAAAGCATTTTAAAATCCTTTCTATAAAAAGTGAGAATCTTTCAAAGAAAATAAACACAGCCCCTCTCTGCGTACAAGTTTTTTTAAAAGAGAATATATGTGACAGTATAATTTCAATGTATATATACAGAAACATTTCAGTCTAGAATCTGCCCTGAAATTACCACAGGATGCTTGCATGTTGACAATATTTACAATAATTGATGCATAAAACTCCATAAATATTTGGACAGGATTTGGCCTTTTTGCTCACAACAGATTAAATGGTACATCAGTGAAAACAGATATATACAAGTAAACCTCTTCCAAGTCCTTCGCATGCCTATGAAAATATTAAAAAAAAAAATAAAAAAAAAAATAAAAAAAAAAAAGAATGAAGATGGAAGTCAAAGCTACTAACAGAGTCAATAACTGGGGATGAAAAAAAAAAAAAAAATCAGTGCTTATTCATCTGCTTTCTTTCCAGCTGCAGAAAGTGTAAAACTGTTCATATCAAGAATGCACTGATTACGAAGTAGCAAACAAATGACTGTCTGAACAATTGCAGAGAACTCCACTGGATCTGTAGGTTATAACGATTCCTACTCCACTAATGTGAAAACATCGCAGTGAAGTTCCATGTCTCTCAAAACAGAAACCTTCCTCCAAAGTTTTTTTTCACAGTGAGATCTCAGGATGACCTATTAACTTCTGACTGCTGTCAGAATCTCTGCTTTGTTACTGTTTGCTCTTTCAACATCTATTTTACTATTCAACATCTATTCAACTATTCAACATCTATTTTACTAGCTGAGACAGCCCATTGAGCAGGCTTACTCATCAAGATTTTCAAGCACTGAAGATCAAATTTCTAGACCTTGAGCTTAAGCCCTCTCAACAGCAGAAATTAATTGTATCAGTTGTGCCTCACTGACAAGAAATACTTATGTAAAACAGAACTCAAAAGGCTTGTAAGATACATATATTTACGTGTTGGCTGTTTGGCCTACCAGCTTCTTTCATACTCACTAAATTTGTTTTCAGAACATGAAATAACACAGTCACATAAATTAAAATTCACATCATATGCTGTTTCGTTCGCTCCACTTATATCTGTTCTTATTGGACAAAAAACAATCAACCCACAGAATAAAAGGCCCAGCTAACAACCGAACTAGTCTTCCAAGACTAGTGCTGCTGTTTCATTAGTACAACGTAGATTACGTTTTACATATTTTTCTCTAGAAAATCAATCAGGACCGTTTTATTTACTTGTCTGCAAAATGAATTAAACACTGTAATTCTGATCACCCAGTCTTCTGAATATTCAATAACTATTTGTGAAATATGGTGAGTAGAGCATTAAAACTTCATTAGTAAATGTAGCAATCAGATTTTAGAAGATTTGGAATAGGCTGAACTAGGTTTCAATTTACACTTATTAAATATAGATTACAATTTTTTTGTTACAGGTCAAGCAGCCTCCGCCACTGAGTAACTGAGTACTGTTGCAAATCAAAACATGTCCTTACATGCAGTCTTTTACTGGACCATTGGCTGCCTAGACTCAAAATTCCATATTTTTATAATCTTATCAGGGATACTAATAAATTTCAATGTTAATGATCATTACAGACATGGTTGCTCAAGACTTTGTAGCCTCACCATGTCTTTAAGTTACACATGTCTGCAAAACTGTTATGAGAAAGCAAACCATGAAATATTTTAGGAATCTGGAGAAAATGGTTGTTTTGTTTTGGGGTTGTTAGTTTTTGCTTTTTTGTGATTTGTTTGATTTTCATGGTGGCCATTCCTATGTCTGCAGTATCTCACAGAATATTGCATATATTTCCTTCTATTGTATTGCCAGTTTTTCTCACCTTTCTCTATCACAGATCTTCGGTTTTCATTTTGCAGAAAAGCTGGGAAAAAGGAGCTTAAAAGATTTTGATTTTTTTTCTGTCTGATATTAGGCTTTAGGTGACATCTATTGCTCAGCATGTCACTTGAAAATCCGTTTAAAACTTCCGTTAGTTTTCAAACCACTTTTAAAAAATCTCACTTCAGATTTCTAATAACAGATATTTCTAATTTCTAATAACATAAATTTCTAATTTCAGATAACTAATGGTTATCTTGGCATGGTGATATCAATTGCACTCTCCTGTGCTACCCATATATTCCTTTTCCCATTTGGCAAATGTCATTAAACAAAGAGGGAACACCTATACCACCTTTATTTAATGAACAAAGGAAGGCTTAAAAAATAATTTCCTTTCTAAGATATTTCTTTGAATGAGTTGCTTTGCTTCTCCTACTCCACTGATTCTTGCACCTTCACATAGCTAGCTCTGTGCTAATGAACTTGCTCTGTAAGATCAGCTGCTGTCCTTATGTTATTATTATCATTTCCCCAAGCCCCTACTGTGATCTTACAAAAGGCTTAGTACAGAGGATTTCTTTCCTCCACCTTTGCTTAAGGACTTGAAAATATTTTATCATGAGAGTTGTTTCAGTGTATAAGCTATTTATGGAATACGTAAAGCATTAAAGCAAGCCAAAGCCTGAATCTCATTAGGACAATAAATCAAAGAAGAACAGAATGATTTTTCAGGAATGATGAACAGCTTTTCTCATTTAAGAACACAGATCATGCATCATTAAGGCATCTGGTCAGGTACAGAGTACGGCATATGCAAGAGGATTTAATATAGAGAGTGCTTTAATGACACTGTCAATATGGAGGTGGGAGGAAATTTTGTAAAGTATGGGGGTTGAGAAAGAAACATGACTCAGATTAACAATTAAGAAAGATTAACGATTAAGAAATGATCTGGATAGGCTGCACCGATGGGCTGAGGTTAACTACATGAAGTTCAACAGGGCCAAATGCCAGGTCCTGCACCTGGGGCGCAATAACCCCAAGCAGAGCTACAGGCTGGGAGATGAGTGGTTGGAGAGCTGCCAGGCAGAGAAGGACCTGGGAGTGATGGTGGACAGTCGGCTGAATATGAGCCAGCAGTGTGCTCAGGTGGCCAAGAAGGCCAACGGCATCCTGGCTTGTATCAGAAACACTGTGACCAGCAGGGCTAGGGAGGTGATCGTCCCCCTGTACTCGGCTCTGGTGAGGCCGCACCTCGAGTACTGTGTTCAGTTTTGGGCCCCTCGCTACAAGAAGGACATGGAGGTGCTCGAGTGAGTCCAGAGAAGGGCAACAAAGCTGGTGAGGGGCCTGGAGAACAAGTCCTATGAGGAGCGGCTGAAGGAGCTGGGCTTGTTCAGCCTGGAGAAGAGGAGGCTCAGGGGCGACCTTATCGCACCCTACAGGTACCTCAAAGGAGGCTGTAGTGAGGTGGGGGTTGGTCTGTTCTCCCACGTGCCTGGTGACAGGACGAGGGGGAATGGGCTAAAGTTGCACCAGGGGAGGTTTAGGTTGGATGTTAGGAAGAACTTCTTTACTGAAAGGGTTGTGAGGCATTGGAACAGGCTGCCCAGGGAAGTGGTGGAGTCACCATCCCTGTGATTCTGTAAAGGCCATTCATAGAGCCTAGCTTTTAAAACGTAACAGCCTGGTATTTTCTCTGAATACTTTACTTGTCATGCTATAGCACAGTGCAATAAATTCACCACTCTAGCTCTCCTTAAGAAGACATGTTTCAAATGCTAGTTTAGTTTTCTGGAGTGAAAGACAGGCTTTTCAGGAAAGAGTTAGCACTTCAAGAAATCTAAGATTTTATAGTTTGAAAGCTCTGAAAGTTTCTAATAAAACAATAGGATATTGTTACAGAACATTAGATTTCATTTCACAGAATCACAGAATTTCTAGGTTGGAAGAGACCTCAAGATCATCGAGTCCAACCTCTGACCTAACGCTAACAGTCCCCACTAAACCATATCCCTAAGCTCTACATCTAAACATCTTTTAAAGACCTCCAGGGATGGTGACTCCACCACTTCCCTGGGCAGCCTGTTCCAATGTCTAACAACCCTTTCGGTAAAGAAATTCTTCCTAACATCTAACCTAAAACTCCCCTGGCGCAACTTTAGCCCATTCCCCCTCGTCCTGTCACCAGGCACGTGATTTCCATCAAAGGACAAGTTCAGCCATTACAAACTAATGCTATTTGCTAGAGTAAATAGCCTTCTCAACAAATTTTATTTCCTAATATATGGGGGGTTTATTTCTCTCTTTTTTTTTTAAGAAGATAAAAGCTTTTAGGATAAATCCC